ATATTGAGTACAACTTGAAAGTGATTAATCAAGAAGTCATTCATTTACATGAACATTTCGATCATGATGCAGTGTCTTGTACCTTTGATAAAGAAAATATCTCCTGCATCAACCCGAAAATAGTTAAATATCGTGTATAGAAGAATTTTGATTTTGGGTTTTTAGGTTAAGTACTAACAACTATTGATTTTGATAAAATTTTTATTTTTAGTGTCATTAATAACATAGTGGCTTCTTTAGCTGAAGAATTAGTTCATGTATATGATATTTGATGTCATATTTATGAATATAGGGTAAAAAGAACCCATCCACCATGAATAACCGACAACAAGCTTTTAACAAAATTGAAAGACACAGAAAGAAATTAGAATTACACGACAAACACTATGCGTGGATTAAAGACAGCATTTACAAATTTTAGGCTTAAGCAAAAGGCTGCCAACCTGGCAACGATTTCGTCAAATAGAATAGAAATAAGAAATGAATAACTCTTTCCTCAATATTTGAATAAGCACGATTAAATCTACAGATACTTCTCGAACCTCCCTAGCGTAGACAGAACTGAATTCCAGGTGAACTTATTACATAAATATACTAATATTGGGCCAAGTAATAACCCTGATGCATCCTTTAAATTTCGTTCCGTACCTATAACTGAAACATCTAGTTACACCAAAGCTATGAAAACAGAGGCAGCTGGTCATGACACTGTATCACGGAAAATGCTACTGTTATTAGAGAACCGCTTACTAAATCATACCACGTATATAATCAACTGCTATTTTACTTCGTGTGAATTTCCGGATATGTGGAAAATATGTAAAGTAATGCCAAATACCTAAAACCTATAATCAGAATCAATTCTCTGACTTAAGACTGAGCGGTGTTTCAACAATATTGTCAAGAGTGCTAGAAAAAATAATGGGTCAGCAAATTTGGGAGTATGTTACAAATAAATCTATTTTTACCACAAATTCAATCCGGCTTTCGCAAATCTGATGATACTACAATAGCTTTAGCTTGCATAGTCTATGATTTAACGTTTTCAATCGACAAAAGCAAAATTGGTTGTTTAGTGCTACTTGATTACAGCAAGGCTCTCCCGCTGTGCAACTTATAAAAAGCTTCCTAAGGAAAAGGTACCAAAGGTACCAATATGTATCAATTTATTTGAGTAATTCCTTATAAAAATGGGAGTTCCTAAAGGCTCCATTCTTAATCCTTTGTGGTTCTCTCTGCATATCTTAGACTTTTCTAACAATATAAGGTACAGTAAAGTTCATCACTGTGCACAATTATTATATTATGGTTTTCATATCAGTGATGCATCTTTTTCCTTTGATTTTATCAACAACGATCTGAATACAATGTATCACATTTCGGCTGCTCATAGTTTGAAACTGAATGCTTCTAAGTCAAAAGTTATGATTTTTGGACCAAAGCAGAAACGAATTACTCGTATACGAGTCCCTTCCCACTTCAGTTGGCCCAAATATTGAAATCCTTTTTCTTATCAAACACAAATAATAAAAATTTAGCAGGGGGTTATAGGTTTAAAATATTAACAATGAATATTTTGATAATATATAGTAGAAAACATCAACTTTATCACTCCCTAATCAAATTTGCAGCATAAAAATAACACACATGTTGCAATTACAGCATATCAACCTACTTTCATTTCAATGCAAAATAAGTCTATAACGCATAGGTGGCTGTGAAAAATAAAAGCCATGACAATTGTTTTTATTAATCACAACTGTCAGAGTACGTTTATAATAGTTTTGGGTAGTTAAGGTTTTCAAAATGGGTAGAGGTAAAAGTTATTAGTGAGAAAATTCGGTTACTGATAATTAAATTTTTTAATTCCGGGAAATCAAACTCAGAAATTGCAACTTTGTTAGACTTATCGCGGTACAGTGTGAGAAATATTGTTAGAAGATATACCGTAACCGGTTCAGTTAATATTAAGCCACGATATGTGAAAAAAAGTAATATCACAAATGCCGACCGAAGAGCATTAAGAAGAATAATCGTGAAAAACAGGCGTGCCAATTATTTACAATTAAGTGCTCTGTGGAGTGACGCTGTTGGAAGGAGAATTTCGAGGTCCACAACTCATAGAGAGGCCCACAAACTGGGATTTAGCACTTGCAAGGTAAGTTTTCTTACAAAAAAAAGTAAAAACCCTAAAGTTGCACAACTTGTTATAGGCCAAAGAAAAGCCACTATTAACTCCACTGCAAAAAAAAATCCTCTTAGATGGGCTAAAGAACATAGACAATGGACACCTCAACAATCGTGTGAAATACAATGGAGTGATGAGGCCCGATTCGAAGTTTGTGTTGGTGACAGTCGCAGTAGAGTTATTCGCAAAAAAATGAAGCATTCCATGTTGACTGTCTGAAGAGAAAAGTGAAATTTCCAGCATCCATTATGGTCTGGGGCAGTATGTCATCAAAAGGAGTAGGAAAACTTCATTTTATTGATGGAAATGTGGATACAAACAAATATTTGGCAATTTTAGAAGAATCGCTTTTACCAGTGATGGAAGAATGTTTGACATCCGGCCAAGATTTTGTGTCTCAGCAAGATGGTGCAGCGTGCCATACCTCAAAAAAGTCTATAAAATGGATGGAAAAAGATAATGTACCACTTTTGAAATGGGTTTCTAGCAGTCCAGATCTGTCACCTATTGAAACTTTGTGGCACGATATGCAATCATATCAAGAGATCGTTTAATGAGGAAAATTCGAGAGGCTTTTTATTTAATGCAGCAAGACAGGTTATTAAATACGAAAACTACCGAAGTAACACGTAGAGCTCGAGCATGTATTAGAAACAATAGTTCTCACTTTGAACACCAATAAAGCATGTTTCAATGGTTTATTTTGTTTCGTTTACTAATTTATGATTTAAATTTGAAAATCCGAATATCTCGAAAACCGTAAGACTGTGTACTGAGGTCTGCTTGGCTCAAAATACTTTAAATGGTCTACCCTATCCCCTCCACAAGACTTTGTATCGGCCTTCCAAACACCCTGTATACTTGAAATTAAAATTGTACGAAACTTGCATTTTAAGACTTAAAAATAGATGATTTCCGTTAAAACTTCAAATGATTTTGATGACCAAACTCAAGGTCATGGACATAGTTGAACATACAATTTAAAAAAACTATATTGGCCTTCAAATGAGCTTGAAGGTCATAGTCAAGGTCACGTTCAAGGTAACCATTAAATGAATATTTTCAAACCTCACAAGTCTATTACACAACATTTTCCTTTATGAACCGTATTTTACGAGATATTTTGACATTCTCCTTCTGTCAAAACACTCTCAAATACCCATAAAAATCAGAGCCAACTTAATGGAAAAACATTTAATCCAACGTAAAATTTTCGCACTTTACATTTATGGTGTCGAAAATAGGGATTTCGATTAAGAATACGGCCTTAACCATCAAATGACCTTGAAAGCGATAGTCAAGGTAACGTTCAAGATCACCATTATAAGAAACTTTTCACACCTTGTTTATCAGCATTTTCCCCTAAGAGACGTATTTTTCAATATACTCTGATCTATCCGAACCTGTACCTTGTATATTTTTGCGGATGAAACCATGACTCTCTGTGTATTGACCCGAGATTTACCGTATTAAATTCGGTACAGATTTCGTGTCGTGACAGACGGCCTTCAGACTAGAGTACTCTCTCCCGAAACAAATGCATCATTCGCATCAATTCGTATAGGCTAATTTCGCATCGGCATTCATCTCGCGTGCTATTGCTTAGCGACCCCGTCTGTTGTCCTGTCCCACGAACGTCGGTCCGTCTGTCATCATGATTGACGTGACCGCCATGGAGGATGCCAACGACCAGCCGCAGTCGTCCTAATCGCATCCACAACAACGAATCCCGAATAAATATTTATTGGTTTCGCCTAAATTACCTTATGTATTCCCGCATGGCGGCCACAATTTTGTTGCCGCAGTCATGCCAATTCCATCGGACGCTATCATAAAGTTAATTTATTGGGCCCAGCGGTAGAATTGCGGACACAGTGGGACGCACTTTTGACTGACAGACGTGATTCGATCTGGGGATGAAAGGTAATGAGGAAATTCAGAAATCACTGCTTCATTTCTGATGGGTAAAATAGAACGGAATGACTTTAGTGTCTTTTTCTATAAAACAATTTGGCTATGATGGTATAGTGATTGTATCATGGTTAACCGATGACCAGAAAGTCAGATAAAGATAAGTTAATGCCTGCCGTGAAGTACAAGAGGTCAACATTGATAAAGGTAAAAACAACTTCTCTCGATAATAACTGTACTTGGAGGCAAGTCACTTTGTTTTAAATAAATAGGACCAGATGCAGGCTTTTAACCAAAAAGGTGACGCAATTTTAAAATTTTATAGCTTTATGCTACTTAAGCAAGTAATGTAAGTTGTCCCGACGCGTACAGTTTCTTCAGTCATTCTTGCCTGATCTTGTAGCTCTCCTGATGAAAAATAATTGAAAGGTGATCTATGTCTACTTACTGACGACAATATTGTCAAGATATAGCCGAGCCGCATAGTGCAATGTGGTTATGACGGCTGAGTTATAGATGGCATAAAGAACCAGGGATTGCTACAAAAGTATTGCTCTATTATATTACCCGTTAGCCCTATTCCTTATTTCCTCACGTGAGAACATCGGATCTTTGAATCTTTAAGAGCGCCCAGTTTAGTGTATATAGAGGGGAACCATTCTCCATATTACTTCCACGGCAATAGAAATGCATCTACGCACTATTGCTACGTGAACGAAATTATTTAGAGCCTGTATAACGATGCCAAAAGAGTTATAGATATACTAAGTGACATATAAATCCGAACACCCAGTTTAAATGGTTTTATTTTAATAAAATTTTGTATAAGTACTTAATGAAGCATAATAAGTAAATGATAAAAATTTCAAAATGATTGCACTGCTTTAAAGCCCTTTGACCTTTAATAATGTATGGATGCACCCTGATGTGCTACGCATCCTCCAACGCGCCTAGGCATGCTTCTGATCAGGTGGTCAATGTCCTCCTGTGGTATCTCATTCCAGGCAACCACCAACTCCTCTCGAAGTGCTTCTAGAGTCTGAGGAGGACGTTGCAAATTGAGCAATCTCCTACCCCCACGTGCTCAATTGGGGATAAGTCGGGAGATCTTGGTGGCCATGGTAACAATGTGACATCATTATGTTGAAAGAAGTCTATTGTGACTCTTGCAACATGTGGTCGGGCATTATCTTGTTGGAAAGTTGGATCTGCCAGGATGTCAAGATAGGGTAAAAGATGGGGTTCTAGAACTTCGTGGATATAACGCTGCGCGTTCATGTTACCTCTGATGAAGATTAAAGGTGACCTGGAACCATAAGCTATAGCACCCCAAACCATAACTCCAACAGTGTGATGAACATGTCTTTCAACAAAAAACTGTGGACTCCTCCTTTCACCACGTCGCCTTCTAACCCTGGCACGACCATCGTGCATGCCTAAAGAAAATCGAGACTCGTCACTAAAGACAATGCTGTTCCATTCCTGATTCCAGAGTGACCGTTGTCTGCACCACTCAAGGCGATTACGTCGGTGTTCTCGAGTTAAAGGGAGGACCCAGTGTGGCCGGTATGAAAACAAGCCAAAACTTCTCATTCGTCGGTAAACACTTCGCATGCCAATAGGTCTTCCGTGTTCTGCAAACCATTCATTTGCAATGGACCTGGTAGTGGAGAAATGGTCCCTTAAGGCCAATAATCTTAGGCGGCGATCTTCACGGTCTGTTGTTCTACGGCGGTGTCCAGTGCCCCTTGCTCTTTGCGTACGGCTTTCTCGAAGCCATGCCTGACAACACCTAACCACAGTGTCTACACTTCTTTGCACTCTAACTGCAATTGCCCGAAAAGAAGGTCCAGCTTCCCGAAGTCCCACTATACGGCCTCTATCAAACTCACTAAGTTGACGATATCGTACAGGTCTCCGTACTCTAGGCATCGTAACCGATCGTAAAGGATGTCAAGAACCAAAATCCGCCAACGTTGATTCTTTACTGTGGCTGAAATATTCATTTTTAGAGCGTTAGTGAATTAAAAAAAAGCAGTATAAAAACCGGAATGTCCAACTGATAAGGCTGAACATTTTATCACTTGTTATTTACAGTAAGATAAATACATTCACCAACTTTTATTAAAATAAAACCATTTAAACCGGGTGTTCGGATTTATATGTCACTTAGTATATTACTGAATAGGCAGTTGCTGTCTGTCTCTCTTATCTATAGATGTTTTCTGAACAATGCTAATCAGAATCACATTTATAATAAATAAATACAATACATAATAGTGGTCAAGGGAACAAGGTATTTACGTTTTTTAATAACTTTACCGTTTAAAGCAAAACCAGATTTCATAGCCTGAAAAAGTAGAGGACATTGGGGCGAGACTGACTCTGTGGAACCGACCAAGCCAACTCTTTTTACCCAACTTCCTGAAAAGGACTGCCTCAAAAGAGGATTAATTACCCCACTGAATCAGATTGAGTCAGGTCAAGCTGCTTGATGAATTATACCATATGATGCGTCGTTGGTTTGGTCTTAGCGGTGCCTGTGTCACTGGCTATATTAAAATTTTATAAATCAGGCTGGTTATACCAAAGGTTAGTGAAAGCGATATGGCGGATACTAGGTTAGGTTAGGTTAGGTTAGGTTTCTTGTGAGTGCATCAATAACTATCCTCCACTGTGACTCTTTGGTCTATTATGGCTCACACCTACTTATATTTCTCCCAGTAGCTCCGACCTCCTGGGGAAGTCGATCAACTTGTTTGGAGAAATATCCCTTAGGTCTTCTAATTGGAGTATTGCGTCTCCAAGTACCTGATTCTGGCAATTGCAGGACATCTGCACAATACATGCCTGACTGTTTCATCTCCCTCCATGCACAGCCTGAACTCAGCGTCTTCCGCCATGCCCAGCCTGCTCATGTGGTGACGCAATTTGCAATGACCAGTGTACAGTCCTACTAGAGCTTTGAGGCTATTCCTGGTCAGCCGTAGCAAAGAGTATGTTACCTTCTTTGTCAAGATTGGTATAGTTGCCTTAGCATGGGTTAACCCTGCTAATCCCTCCCAGTATTGATGGATCCTTCTGTTCATCTCTGCAGGGATTATTTGTTTAGCCGTATTGTTTGCGATCCCAATCGCTGGCTCAGGCCCTATGGAGGGTGTTGGAGGATATAAGGCTTCAACCTTAAATTTTTTATTTTATAGCAGGGTTATAACTTAAAAAACATACATAATGTCAAAAAAAAACGATGAACTGTCTACTTGTTGCCTAAGTAGGCTAGTGTACAATAGTCTATTTCATACTTGCTACAACCTAGCATGAAGTGAACGAAAATCAGTTAAAAGCTGACTTCTTGTAGGAAAACCTACATAATGTATAAAAAACCTTCGTAATTTCCAAACAAAAAACGACATAATGTCACTTCTGCGGATTACAGTTCAAACGGTTTGATTTTACATTTTAGGTGTCTTTCCATTCGTCTTGATATCATAACTAAAATGCAATCTTGACAGCTACTGCAATCGGGCTTTTCAAGAATGTACTTGTTCAATGACAATTGAGTGCAAGGCCTCATATCATGGTCCATACCATTTAAACAGCCGCTAACATAAAGCGCTTTTCAACTGTGCTGTTCTTAATCTTTATTTTATTGGGAGGTCGAGAAAGATCAAGAACAAAATATGTGGATCACATTACAAAATAAGTCCCAGCCTCACTCAAGTAATCTTTCAGAATTACTGACGATACTAACAAGACTGAGATATGATATTTAATGTTTTACAAAGTCCAAGTCGAACGACCGACTGCGGGAGATACTGTATCATTTAAATGGAGTCCATTGTTAACAAAAATTGCTGTGAAAAGCCATGGAAATATATAAACTAATATAATATAAACGACGACAGAAGTACTGAGCACTTTTAAAATATCCTGGGTATAACCAAAATGGGGGATTGTTTCTTTTATGCTTTGACCTAACAGCTAGAGAGCGTGTCAAAAAATCAACAATGTGAGTGATGGAGTTTAAAGATTAAGAAAAATCCCGTGCCGTCCCTTAGACGCTCGTATCTTGTTCATATTACGCACATTTTGCATACTCTCCTATTTACTTTGTATGGACTACGAGGTCTGTAAATTGAGTGATATGACCGGCAACGTAGCATTCAATTTGGCAACACTGGAGGCGCCGGGCTTGGAGGGGAGACAGGGAACATGTGGTCTGCCTTCAGTACAAGTGTGAACTCGCTCTAGTGGTTTGGTTGTCCGTTGATGCATCTTCAAGAACCGATGAAAATATTTACAGAATCCGGTAACTTGTGCATTCAGATCGTCGGATGACAGTCAGAATGATCGGGGAAGAGTTAAATTTGGCTCATATCATTGCTCATCAGATCAAGAACAACTGACTATGTTGCATCATGGTAATGCTCCTTGTCACACAGCAATGTCAATGAACGAGTTTTTGGCCAGTAAAAACATTCCTGTGGCTCCTCAGCCTCCTTGTTCACCCTATTTGAGTCCTTGTGACTTTTTTCTCTGTCCGAAGTTAAAAAATTACGTCAAGGGAACTGATTTTGGGACAGTCTAAAACATTCAAATGGCTGTAACCGATCAGCTAAAGGCTGTACCAGCATAGGAGTTCCAGTACTGCTATGAAGAGTGGCGCTTTGTGGCTTCAAAAGAAAGTTATTTTGGAAATATGAAATTGCAAATATATTTCAATAAAAAACACAGTCTCATCACTTAATTTACAGACCTCGTAAATACCAAAGAGTATATCCAATACGATTATCTTCAAAACTAACTTTTAACTGGATGAATGAAGCATTCTTCCCCCTCTGTATTCGTTTAGAACCGATTTCGCTCATGTCAAATCGTGATTGAAACCTTTCGAAAAAACAAACACTGTACATCGTTCATAAAAAATGTTGAAAGGTTTTGACTTAATAACCTCATTTACATCTTTTTCGACTAATCGGCTGAGATATATCAAGATGGACAAGATTAAATTAATTAAATTTTATTAATATTCATATTAGTACAAACATTAATCTTCCGAACCGGTTACCGCAACTAAAAAGTCTTGTACAGCGTTACTTTTAGGCTATATACGAGGGATGATCACTAGGCCCACATAATGAATAAACCAAATACTTTTTGGAGTTGCCTGTCAATAAAACTCATTCATCTTTTACGGGAATTTGACTAAATCTCTGAAGTAGACATCGGCCAATAATAAAGCACAATATGTCGTATTGGGTGAACAAGTGAACCTATAAACCTATAGGTATACTTGTTCGTCTCTTCGTGGAGAGTGCATATACTTGTACACGCATTAACCTTATAGAGCAATCTGTCTCCAGCTGGCGACTTTTTTCTTTGCAAGATGCCCCATGCAACGCGTTATGATGCTCTCTTAAATTATAACAAATAAAATTGTAACAACATACTTTGTAGGACAAACTTTACTGATCTTTCGCCTGCCTCGTCAGGAAACGTATCAAGAATGTCGTTCAAATGCGTCACGTTCAAGAATTTAGTTTCCCTGAAAACTGCACCAGACTTACAGCACTAAGAAATTGACAACTAAAAACTAGGACAAAGAGTCAAAGCAGAACTACCTACGATTCTTGAACTGATTCAATCACGTGCTTAGATACTGTATGAATTTAAAGGTATCTCAAAGTGTCTTTATAGAAGCTCGCAACTACAGTACAACTATGAAACGCGGAAATCATTAGCTAGACTTATTTTAAGACTGAGTAATTTCTGAGCCTGTGAAACCGACCCTCGTAGAATACATAATATCAATTTATTATTAAATAAGAACCAATACCATGATTTATGAACATAAATCGACTTCCAAGTAATTAAAAGGGACTTGGGAGATGAATGTGATAAGGCATCCAGGACGTATTAAGATGATTCATGACCGAAGAAAAACTAGTAGAACAGTTCGTAGTGATGGTATCTGAAACATCTAACACCCTGCGGTGCTAGCAAAGATTCGATTTTTAAGTTATCAGTTAAGTGTGAGCAATGATCAATGCCATTATATTTACATATCGATCGGTCAATTATGGTAACGCCTAGATCAGTTATAATAATTATAGGCCTTAAAAGGAAGTATGCTATGAATAAAATCAAAGCTTACCGACATTTTTTTGTCGGCTCTTGGTTCATGGCCTAAGTTCCTGTACAACTTGGAGGATTGAATAATAAGTTTGTGTACGGTCAAAATATGTTGAGAAACATGTGCCTGCAACTTGTTAGCATAGAGTTCCCTGGAACATATAACATGTTGCAGAATGTTTTCGTTTTAATGATATTTTGCACATGAACTTGGACATCTGCAACATTGTATATAGGACTTTGGGGGGATGTTGCACGCCGCATATGTTTATCTCCGGCTATTTTACTAACGACTACAAGGACTTATATAACGCGCGCCTGAACTCATGTTGAATTTGTCACTAACGTGATCTTCGAATGACCTTCAAATGCCTGCATAC